GATTCTTCCTAACTATGAGCATGGAATGTTTCTCCATCCATCTGTTTGTGTCCTCTCTTATTTCGTTGAGCAGTGTTTTGTAGTTCTCCTTGAAGAGGTCCTTTACATTCTTTGTTAGTTGTATTCCTAGGTATTTTATTCTCTTTGTAGCAATTGTGAATGGCAGTTTGTTCTTGATTTGGCTCTCTTTAAGTCTGTTATTGGTGTATAGGAATGCCTGTGATTTTTGCACATTGATTTTGTATCCCGAGACTTTGCTGAAGTTGCTTATCAGTTTCAGGAGATTTGGGGCTGAACAAGGGGTCTTCTGAATATATAATCATGTAGTCTGCAAATAAAGACAATCTGACTTCCTCCTTTCTAACTGAATACCCTTTATTTCTTTTTCTTGCCTGATTGCTCTGGCTAGAACTTCCAATACTATATTGAATAGGAATAGTGAGAGAGGGCATCCCTGTCTAGTGCCAGATTTCAAAGGGAAAGCTTCCAGTTTTTGCCCATTCAGTATGATATTGACTGTGGGTTTGTCATAAATAGCTTTCATTATTTTGAGATATGTTCCATCAATACCTAGTTTATTGAGGGTTTTTAGCATAAAGCGCTGTTGAATTTTGTCAAAGGCCTTCTCTGCATCTATTGAGATAATCATGTGGTTTTTGTCTTTGGTTCTGTTGATGTGGTGGATTACGTTTATAGACTTGCATATGTTGTACCAGCCTTGCATCCCTGAAATGAAGCCTACTTGATTATGGTGGGTAAGCTTTTTTGATGTGCTGTTGCAATTGATTTGCCAGTATCGAAGATTTTTACATCTATGTTCATCATGAATATTGGCCTGAAGTTTTATTTTCTTGTTGAGTCTCTGCCGGGTTTGGTATCAAGATGATGTTGGTCTCATAAAATGATTTGGGAAGGATTCCCTCTTTTTTGATTGTTTGGAATAGTTTCAGAAGGAATGGAACCAGCTTCTCTTTGTATGTGTGGTAGAATTCGGCTGTGAACCCATTTGGACGTGGGCTTTTTTTGGTTGGTAGGCTGTCGATTGCTGCCTCAACTTCAGCCCTTGTTATTGGTCTATTCACGGTTTTGACTTCTTCCTGGTTTAGGCTTGGGAGGATGCACATGTGCAGGAATTTATCCACTTCTTCCAGGTTTACTAGTTTACGTGCATAGAGTTGTTTGTAATAATCTCTGATGATGGTTTGTATTTCTGTGGAATCTATGGTGATATCCCTTTATTGTTTTTTATTGCATCTATTTGATTATTCTCCCTTTTCTTTTTTATTAATCTGGCTAGTAATCTATTTTGTTGATCTTTTCAAAAAAACAGCTCCTGGATTTATTAATATTTTGAAGGGTTTTTTGTGTCTCCTTCAATTCTGCTCTGATCTTATTTATTTCTTGTCTTCTGCTAGGTTTTGAATTTTTTTGATCTTGCTGCTCTAGCACTTTCAGTTTTGACAATAGGGTGTCAATTTTAGATCTTTTCTTGCTTCTCATGTGGGCATTTATTGCTATATATTCTCCTCTAGACACTGCTTTAAATGTGTCCCAGGAATCCTGGTATGTTGGGTCTTCATTCTCGTTGGTTTCAAATAACATCTTTATTTCTGCCTTCATTTCATTGTTTATCCAGTCAACATTCAAGAGCCAGTTGTTCAGTTTTCATGAAGCTGTGTGGTTCTGAGTTAGTTTCTGAATTCTGCGTTCTAACTTGATTGCACTGTGGTCTGACAGACTGTTATGATTTCTGTTCTTTTACATTTGCTGAGGAGTTATTTACTTCCAATTATGTGGTCAATTTTAGAGTAGGTGTGATGTGGTGCTGAGAAGAATGTATATTCTGAGGATTTGGGGTGGAGAGTTCTGTAAATATTTATTAGGTTTGCTTGGTCCACATCTAAGTTCAACTCCTTGATATCCTTGTTAATTTTCTGTCTCGTTGATCTAATATTGACAGTGGAGTGTTAAACTCTCCCACTATTATTGTGTGGGAGTCTAAGTCTCTTTGTAAGTCATTAAGAACTTGCTTTATGTATCTGGGTGCTCCTGTATTGGGTGTGTATATATTTAGGATCAGCTCTTTTTGTTACATTGATCCATTTACCATTATGTAATGTCCTTCTTTGTCTCTTTTGATCTTTGTTGGTTTAAAGTCTATTTTATCAGAAACTAGGATTGCAACTCCTGCGTTTTCTTTGCTCTCCATTTGCTTGGTAAATCTTCCTCCATCCCTTTATTTTGAGGCTTTATGTATCTTGCATGAGAGATGGGTTTGCTGGATACAGCATACCAATGGGTTTTGGCTTTTTATCCAATTTGCCAGTCTGTGTCTTTCGATTGGGGCATTTAGCCCATTTACATTTAGGGTTATTGTTATGTGTGAATTTGATCCTGCCATTTTGATGCTAGCTGGCTGTTTTGCCCATTAGTTGACGCAGTTCCTTCATTGTGTTGATCCTCTTTACCATTTGGTATGTTTCTGGAGTTGCTGGTACTGGTTGTCCCTTTCTATATTTAGCGCTTCTTTCAGGAGCTCTTGTAAAGCAGGCCTGGTGGTGATGAAATCTCTGAGTAATTGCTTGTTTGTAAAGGATTTTATTTCTCCCTCACTTATGAAGCTTAGTTTGGCTGGCTATGAAATTCTGGGTTGAAAGTTTTTGTCTTTAAGGATGTTGAATATTGGCCCCCACTCTCTTCTGGCTTATACGGTTTCTGCTGAGAGATCTGCTGAGAGTCTGATGGGCTTCCCCTTGTGTGTAACCCGACCTTTGTCTCTGGCTGCCCTTAGTATTTTCTCCTCCATTTCAACCCTGGTGAATCTGAAGATTATGTGCCTTGGGGTTACTCTTCTTGAGGAGTACCTTTGTGGTGTTCTCTGTATTTCCTGGACTTGAATATTGGCCTGCCTTGCTAGGTTGGGGAAGTTTTCCTAGAAAATATCTTGAAGAGTATTTTCCAGCTTGGATTCATTCTCTCTGTCACATTCAGGTACACCTACCAAACGTAAATTAGATCTTTTCATATAGTCCCATATTTCTTGGAGACTTTGCTCATTTCTTTTTACCCTTTTTTCTCTAATCTTGCCTTCTCATTTTATTTCAGTGAGTTGATCTTTGACCTCTGATATCCCTTCTTCTGCTTGGTCAATTCAGTACTGAAAACTTGTGTACACTTCATGAAGTTCTCATGTTGTGTTTTTCAGCTCCATCGTTTCATTTATATTCCTCTCTAAGCTGTTTATTCTTGTTAGCATTTTATCAAACATTTTTTCAATGTTCTTAGTTTCTTTGCACTGGGTTAGAACATGTTCTTTTAGCTCACAGAAGTTTCTTATTACCCACCTTCTGAAGCCTGTTCTGTCAATTCATCAGACTCATTCTCCATCCAGCCTTGTTCCCTTGCTGGTGAGGAGTTGTGATCCCCTGGAAGAGGAGAGGCATTCTGATTTTCGGTGTTTTCATCCTTTTTGCACTGGTTTCTTCCCAACTTTGTGGATTTATTTACCTGTGGTCTTTGTAGTTGTTAACTTTCAGATGTGGTCTCTGAGTGGACGTCCTGTTTGTTGATTATGAAGTTATTTCTTTCTGTTTCTTAGTTTTCCTTCTAACAGTCAGGCTCCTCTGCTGTAGGACTGCTGGAGGTCCACTCCAGGCCATGCTTGCCTGGTGATCACCTGTAGTGGCTGCAGAACAGTAAGGGTTGCTGCCAGGTTCTTCTTCCGCTACCTTTGTCCCAAAAGGATACCTGCCAGATGTCAGTCTGAGCTCTCCTTTATGAGGTGACTCTTTGAATATACGGGGGGTCAGGGAGCTGCTTGAGGAGACAATCTGTCCTTCATAGGTGCTCAAGTGTGAGCAGTGAGCTCTGTTCTTTCATTCAGAGCTGCTGCACAGGTACATTTAAGTCTGCTGCAGCAGAACTCATAAACACCTTTTTTCCCCCGGGTGCTCTGTCCAAGGAAGGTAGAGCTTTATTTATAAGTTTCTGTCATGCTGCTGCCTGTTTTCAGGGCTGCCCTGCCCAGCAAGGAGGTAGCCTAGTCACAGTCTGCCTGCAGAGGCTTTGCCGAGCTGCTGTAGGCTCCGCCGAGCTGCTATGCGAACTCCCCTGCAGTCCTGTTTATAGGGGTATAGTTAGGACTGCCTCAGCAATGGTGGCCCACCTCTGTAATGGTGGACTCTCTCTCTAATGGCAGACTGCCTCAGCAATGGCGGGCCGCCTCGGCAATGGCAGACTACCTCAGTAGTGGTGGACTGCCTTGGTAATGGCAGATGCTCCTCCCCCACAGAGCTGGACCATCCCGGGTTCAGCTGTGCTTGCTGTGAAACTCTCAATCCAGAGCGTTTCAGATTGCTGTTTTTGTGGGGGTGTGACCGGCCGACCCTGATCACCTGGCTCCCTGCCTCAGACCCCCCTTTTTGTTTTCAGTTGAACAGGCAACTCCGTCTCCCAGGCGTCCCAGTCAACAGTTGAAATGGCACTGGGATTTGTGTGATTTCTTGTGCGTAGACCCACTGCGCTCACTGAAACAGCCACTGGAAGCTCATGGCACTTTTTCATTGGAGAATCTCCTGGCCTAGCTCCCTGTGTCAGTCTCCTTTCAGTTGAACGGGGGACTCTTGCCTCCCAGGTGTTCCAGTTGCCAGTTGAAAAGGCGCCCGGATTTGTGTGAGATTTTGTGCAGAGACCCACTGCAATAGCTGAGACAGCCGCACAGGGGGTTCGTGGTGCTTTTTCACCCAGGAATCCCCTGACCTGTTTCCCTGTTTCAGTCCCCTTTTTTTCAGTTGAATGGGTGACTCTTGTCTCCCAGGCATTCCAGTCGCCTGTTGAAAAGGCACCTGGATCTGTGTGATTTCCTGAGTGATGACCCACTGCACCGGCTGAAACAGCCACGCTGGAGATTCGTGGCACTTTTTCATCTGGGAATCTCCTGGTCTAGCTCCCTGCTTCAGTCCCCTTTTTATCAATTGAACAGGTGACTCTGTCTCCCAGGTGCTCCAATTGCCAGTTAAAATGGCACCTGCACTTGTGTATTTTGTGCAGAGACCTGCCGTGCTGGCCAAAAGAGCTGCACTGGTGACCCGTGGGACTCCTCCACCCGGGAATCTCCTGGTCTGTGGGCAATAAAAATCCATCTGGAAATGTGGTGTCCACTCACCCTCTGCGCTCTCGCTGGGAGCTGCAATCCTGAGTTGCTCCTAATTGGCCATCTTGAATCCCTCCATCAAAAACAAATACTTAACATTTCAATTAGCCTTGAAGTCTTCTCACATATATAGACAAGACTCTACATGTTGTTTGAAATAATAAAAATATCTCATGGACAGCTTTTCCATAGCTACCACCTCATAGGGTCTTTAGAATCTGCAGATCTCAGATTTAAAATCACTACTGTAAGAACTCTCAGGGAAAAACTTCAAACTGTACTTTATAAAAATATCCTCCCAATCCTTACCCATCTTTATGTCTAACCTTCAAACTCAAAGGTCTGTCCCACCATTTCGACAATAGCCTTCAAAGTTTCACTCCTGGAAGGGATATAAGCTAGTTGAAATCTCTTTTTCAGAGAAAAATAATGGAAGAATTCTGGCAATGTACTGACATCAATTGGATGGTAGCTACTAGAAGGTCTTTTCATTGGAGTACTATGAAAACGAAGATACAATACAACTGCAGAAAATAGCAATGGCATCAAGATTTCAAGAATTGCTACCAGAGTCTTCTGTTTCTAAAATAAAAACAAAAACTAAATGTTAACCCAAAACAGAACACGAGTGTAAGTCGCTATGTGATAAACCCTCTTTCATTTAGAACACTTTAATTTCTTCCAACCTCCCTGCACAACACATGAAAAAGAAAGACACAGAATAAGAATTGCTTGAAACATCTCCTTTTAGCTTTTCTGTAACACCAATGGCCAAAAATCAGTAACAATGATGTCATCTTAAATAATTACATGACTCATTTGCAGAAAAGGGCCCTTTTACATGCAAAGTTCTTAATTGTTCTTTAACCCATTATTATAAACCAATTAAACATTCAATCCTTCCCAAGGACTTACATCTTCCCACAGATAACCATACCCACCTTTAAGACGAAATTCTTCCAGAGAAGAAGTTTTAACTTTCTGAACACTGCCATCTTTATAGCTGAAGAGGAGGGCTCACCACTAGTCAGGAAACAAATGAGGGGAAATGTTATGCATAGTACAAAAGTGTTAAGAGTTACTTTTTTCATCCTTGAAAACTTTCTTCTTTGGGGCTTCCAGATCATTGTGCTGGACTACTTTTCCTCCTATCATTCTAGTAATTCCTTTTCAGTCTTTTTGCTGATACTACCTCCTCTTCCCAACCTCTAAATGTACTCCAGGGCTCAGTCTGTGCTCTCCTTTGGTGATCTCACACAGCTCTTAGATTTGAATCCATCTATATGCTGATAACTTCTAAATTTGTATCTCCAGCCTAGACCTCAGCTAGAACTCTAGACCCAGATACCCAATTGCCTGCTGCCTACTTAACATTTCCATGTGTTTCATCCCAAAGTTGACATAGCCAAACTGGGCTTTCTTATTCCTGTTAAAACAGATTGTCCTACAGTATTCTTCACCTCTGTTAATACCAGTTCCATTCTTTGAGTTATACAGGATGATGATGATGATTATTATTATTATTATTATTTGAGACACAGTCTTGCTCTGTCACCCAGGCTGGAGTGTAGCAGCATGATCTCGGCTCACTGAAACCTCTGCCTCCTGGGTTCAAGCAATTCTCCTTACTTAGTCTCCTAAGTAGCTGGGAGTACAGGCATGCACCACCACGCCTGGCTAATTTTTGTATTTTCTGGTAGAGATGGGGTTTCACCATGTTGGCCAGGCTGGTCTAAAACTCCTGACCTCAAATGATTCACCCACCTCGGCCTCCCAAAGAGCTAGGATTAGTGGCATGAGCCACCTCACTAGTCCTTCTTTTTTAATGATGCAGGAAAGTAACATGTTATAGAACAAACTGATTACAAATAGTAGGTAGAGGATTACTTCAATTTTTATTTAAAAAAATATAAAATCATGAATGTGTTTATAAATAACCGGAAGGTTAGATACCAAAATATCAGTATTTCATTCTATTCAGGATTATTGTTTACTTCTTTCTCTCTCTCTCTTTCACAGCCTAAATCCAGTTAGTCAGCGAATCCTGTTGGCTCTACCTTTGAAATAGACCTAGAATTCACCACCTTTCACCACCCCTATTTTTATGGTCCCTTGCTAGAATTTCTGCAATACATTCTTTGGTGGTGTCACCACATCTGTCCTTGCCACCTTGCAATCCACTGTCCAAGCACCAGTAACAGTGACCCTGTTTGAGTCAGATCACACTTCCTCCTCTACTCAAAACTGTCTACTGGCTCATATCTCACTCCAAGTAAAAGGCTTGCCTTACAATAAACTACACAGTTTTACATGACATAGTTCCTGTTCACTTCCTCATCTCATTGTGTCTACTACTTTACTTCCTTCCTTCTCCCTGCTCCTATGTCACAGGCATAGCTGCTATTCCTAAAACACACTGAACACACTTTCACCTTGACACTCATACTCCTTTGTCAAGTACACACTTCCCTTGTGTATCAACACTGCTAGCCCCCCTACTTTTCAGATCTATCCTTCTCAATAAGGACTTTTTGACCATTCTATATAAAATTTCAATATCCCTATAGATGTCATATCAACTTTCCATGTTTATTTTCCTTCTTAGCACTTTTAAATGATTTACATGCTATTTATTTGCTTATTTAATCTGACATCCCTACTGGAATGTATGCTCTGTGTAAGCAGGAATTTTTTGTTCTGGTTTTTTTTTTTCCCCCCAACACTGAATTCCCAGACACAAGAGCAGAGGTTGCACCTGGAAGGAACTCAGTAAATATTTAATGAATGAATGAATGAAAGGGTATACAGTCTTTGTAGGGGTGTGAAGGAAGCAAAAATGATTGTGAGAAAGAAAAATACCTCAGATAGCAGGAAGTTCCTCCTATCAATCTTTTTGTATCCCAAGTGTAATATATGCTTTAATTTTTAGATACTATTATTATAACAAAAATGAGATTTTCATTTACAGAAAACATTTTACCAGAGGGGAAAACAAAGGGCATATATTTTTTCTCATGTGAAAGCACCTGTAACTTTGCACAAAAGAAATTAAAAGGCCAGGCATGGTGGTCCATGCCTGTAATCTAGCACTTTGGGGGGCCAAGGTAGGCGGATCACAAGGTCAGGAGTTCAGGACCAGCCTGGACAACATGATAAAACCCTGTCTCTACTAACAATATAAAAATTAGGCCAGGCAAAGCGGCTCACGCCTATAATCCCAGCACTTTGGGAGGCTGAGATGGGCAGATAACCTGAGGTCAGGAGTTTGAAACCAGCTTAGCCAACACAGTAAAACCATGTTTCTATTAAAAATACAAAAATTAGGCCGGGCGCAGTGGCTCACGCCTGTAATCCCAGCACTTTGGGAGGCGGAGGCGGGTGGATCATGAGGTCAAGAGATCGAGACCATCCTGGTCAACATGGTGAAACCTCGTCTCTACTAAAAATACAAAAAATTAGCTGGGCATGGTGGTGCGTGCCTGTAATCCCAGATACTCAGGAGGCTGAGGCAGGAGTATTGCTTGAGCCAGGAGTTTGAGGCTGCAGTGAGCGATCATCGCTCACTGCACTCTAGCCTGGATAACAGAGAGAAAACCTGGATAACAGAGAGAAAACCTGTCTCAAAAAAAAGAAGAAGGACAGATAGAGAAAATTAAACCCCTAAAATAAATAATCCACTAGCACATCCAGTTAATACAAAAAAAACAAACAAATACACTGTCAGACGTATTAATGAAGAATGAAAAGGAAAAAATACCTAACATAGCACAGAAAATTAAATGCTTTTTGTAACACTATGCTAATAAATTTGTCAATCTGTCTTGGATGGGTTGATGAGGAAAATAGAAGTTACTATCATAATCCAGTAAGAGACTTTTTAAAAACCTAAATATTTCTTCACATAAACTTTTTAAGAAATTGAGAAATTTGTCAGAGTCCTCCAAGCAGCGCAAGTGCAAAAACTCAAATGGGTAAGTTATTTTTAACTACAAGCAACTGGTCATTCTAATGCTATTTAAATTAATCCATAAGCAGAGTGAGAGTAAACTTCCACACACACACACACAAAAATCAGGTTAACTAATGGTGATACCCAAATCTGACAATTATAGCTTTTTAAAAAAAAAACTAAAGCCCATTTTTAGTAAAGAGAAGATGTAAAAATCCTTGCTAGCACATAGAATCTAGAAGTGCATTAATAATAAAACATGAGCAAAAGGAAATTTTATTCCAAAAATATAAGAATGATTCACTATTTTCACCACTATGATTTCTTTTTTTTTTTTTTTTTTTTTTTTTTTT